GCGCCTGGCCACTGTGCGAAGCATCCCCGTCCCTGGCAGAGGCCACCGAGACCGGCGGGGAGGTAGGGAACTGGGCTCCGCCGAGGGCCGGGGCTTGGTTCCCCTGGAGACCGGACAAAGGCGATGCTTTGGGGTAAATGAAAAGTTTCTTTTTTTTTTTGTCGACGCTGAAAATTAGAAACACATATGAGGCCACAACTGAGATTTTATTTTTCTGAACAGAACTGTAATTGTAGTAGAAAAAATAAATACCGAGCGAAATTAGAATCCTATCAGCCCGGAGCATCGGGACCCCACCCGCCCCAGCCGGCCCCCTGCACAATGGCTGGGCCTGCAGGGACCTGATAGTCACCGTGGAGCCAAAGTTGCCGTTTCCAAAACTGCACATTCCAGCGCTGGGTCCCCCGAGGATGCTGCTGAATGGAAAGCTTTCGCACAGGTGCTGATGGTTTAGGAAGAGTTCTCTCGCTAGTGCTTTCTCGGACAGAACTCAAACCGCTCACGGTTCGGTGGGAATGAACCAGTTTTCCCTGCAGTACTGTATTTACTTTCTTTCAGCAGGGGAGTTTAGCAGGAGAACGATGTTAATTAATAATCCTAGGAAGAAATAAATTAGATCATGAGGTCTCAGGCTCTCTGGGAAATTTCTTGCATCAAAGACTAATCACTTTAGAGAATTTTTTAAAATGATTTTGAATATTTCAAGTCTTGCTTAAGATTCTGTGGAATTCCTTTTTGATTTAGTACAATAATAGAATGTCTTATTTTTAGAGTTCAAAATATATAACTTTTGCTGTAAACATTCTTTAAATATCCTTTAATTTGGCTACCATAAATGTGGAAAGGATGCTTATAACATTGAGATAATTTTCATAAAAATAACATTTCACATATAAATGCAAGTCTTTATAGAAGTCAGCCTTTTCTTCAGTTTGGAATTACTTAGCTGTGAGGATATAAACAACAGATTAGAACTCAGAGCCTAGCAGATTTCTACCGTGGACAGAAAGTTGAGTAAGTCAGTCAGCAGAGCACCCATTGTCTGCAAAGCAAAAAGGCAGGTGTAAAAATAGCGACGGAACAAGGCAAACTGTGCTAACAGAATGCTGTGCAGCTGTAGAGGAGAGAGAGAAAGCTGACCCTCCACAGCACAGAAGAGACTGTAAGGGTGAGCGGACTCCACTGACAGATTGGCCGGTTGTCTTCAGAGGCCATGAGGGCTGGCATTTGCTTCAGCCAGGGCTTCAAGGGTCTGTCCCGGATGGTGCTGCAGCAGCAGGTGTGAATGGGTGCAACACGAGACTGGCCGGCTCACCTGCCCAGCCCTGCGTCTCTGGGGGCCGTTTCTCTTCTTGGTCCTAGTGGTAAGAGGCACCCCCAAATCCTAGCTCACACATCCTGGCCTAAGGGTTTGGAGTTGAGACCAGGACAGTAAGAGCTTGGATTTGTGACACAAGCTCGGAGCTTTCAGAAGCTATGTTGGCTTCCTGTCGCTGTGACAAATGTCTGAGATAAACAGTGGAAAAGAAGGAGAGGTTTATTTCAACACACAGTTGATCGGCTCCCATTTGGTGCTCGTGGTGGCATAGGCCCTCGGAAACGTGGCAGAAGTGGCTGCTTTTCTCATGGCAGTCAGGAAGCAAGAGAGGAAGAGAGGAGGGGGCCAGGACCCCAGTATCGCCTTGAAGGGCATGCCCCATGATCAAAATTTCCTCCATTAGACCTCATCACATCCCAGTAATGCCACCGGCTTCCAACAAGCCTTCAAAACATGAGCCCTGGGTGACATTTAGGACCTCAGTCATAATGGAAGCCATGTCCCTACCGCAGAGAGAGAAGCTAAAGAAGCTAGTCAGCGGGAAGAGGCCAATGAAGCAGATGTGTGGAAGGTGAAGGGATAGATTTCAGAGGGAGAACTCTGGCGCTGCTGTAATCTAAAGAGTCCTCAACCCATAACCTAAAGCCTCTATTGTCTGGCCCTTCACAGAAAAGTTTGCCAATCCCCGTTCCTGGGTTAACCTGTCCCCATATCCCTCCCTTGGGTGCCCTGTAACCTCCTTTCATCCATATCACAAATTCCTTGTCTTGCTTAATCCACCACAAGTGGCGTTTGTCCGAACAAAAGTACCACAGGTGAGAAAGTTTTACTTAATTTGTAAAGCATTCCAAGGGCTATACTCAGTTAATAGCTCTATTTTTCTATCCAGAATAATAAAAATCTGCAGAGCTTTTGTGCAGGACAGAATGTGTAAGCAGTCCAGGAACCCAGCCCTTAGCATGGAGCTAGGACCATGGGTTGGTCAACCCATTGATAGAGTAACTGACAGTTGAAAGTAATCTGAGATATAAATTACAAGTCCAAGACCAGCACCTGGATGTCTCACCACAAAGAGGATTTGATACCAGTCCGACAAGTAGTCTACAAATAGAGAAGGCAGCTGAAATACAAAGGCATGTCTTCAACAACCGACAACCGCGTGGGTCATTAGGCTTTTGAAAAGTTCCTGCTGTGTTGCCCAGGTCTCAATCCCCTTTATAAGCTGCAATAGACCACCTGGCAAAACTGTTTTCATGTAGAGTTGATCCCTCCCTTAACTCTTTTGTGGCATGGGAGGGAGGTTTAGCAACCTGATGAAGTCTACAGACTCTGTCTCCAAAAAATGTTTCCAGGGCTGCATTAAAAGCTAAAAGACTCAGGATTACAAAGAAAACGTTGTACATTGTATAATGAAACAGTTATCAAAAGTATTGAGTACAGTTTTGACATGGTTGTATGCTTTGCTTGGGCAAGGGTAGTGGGGATTGAACCCAGAGCCTTTGTGCTGAGCTTCATCCCCCAGGTGTTTTTACTTACTTTGAGATAGGGTCTCCCTAAATCACTACACTATGGAGGTTGGGCTCCTCGGCCTCAGCCACCCATCTTTTGTATGCATCTTGTATGCATGTATGCATCTTTTGAAGGCTTGAGATATAAAGATCCAGTGATAGATCAAATTGCCACCATGAATTTGAAGTAGTAATGGGAAGAGATAAATTTTTAGATAATGATATTTGTAACAATTTGAAAACATGAAAATACCTGTGATTTCCCTTGATAATAAAGTTATTGTCTTGGTTACTTTTCCTGGTTGCTGAGGTGAAATACCTGACACCCAAAGCTAAAGAAGGAAAGGTTTATTTAGCTCACAGTTTGTAGAGGTTTCAGTTCACGGTTGGCTGGCTCCAAGGCAGAGTGGCACATGGCAGAGGGGATCGCAGAGGAGAAACAGTTCATGGTGGGCAGAAGGTAGTAAAGCAAGCAAGTGACAATAGCAGCTTCTTTCTAGTCCTTTTATAGTCTATCTAGGCTATGCACCTTGCAGCCCTAGGGCAGGTAGGACTCACACCCATAACTATGCTAAGCCACTTAGTGGACTGATTTAGTAATCACACACCCTTAACCTCAGCATCAAACTCTAGATCCAGCCACCTCTAACAAAGCCCCATCTATGACAGCATGAGGCTTTGGGGGGACATCTAGACACAAGCTGTAAGTTATGTTGTTATTACAGTGGTTTATTGCATTCATAATTGAAGGACTTGGTAAATGTTGGTTAGCATTTAGTGAAAATATAGTTTTTTTTCCACACTTAAATTCATGAACTCTTTAAATTCAGTCCTCAAGTCTCTTTAGACCAGAGCATGAGGAAGTCTGGGAAGCCTGAGTTAGGAAATCATGATGTCTAATGTATCCAAATCCTCCAATCCGCAGAAGATTACAATTGTCTGTAAGAAAAAAAGTATAGAAAGAGCGAAGAGTATTGGAAGGAGAACAAGAAGCATGAAGGAACAATCAGAACACTTCAAGAATAGGGTAGCACAGAGCCCAAGGGAAGTGTTTTAAACTTGACAAAGTGGACCACAGCTGAAGAATAGCTAGCAGCTATGGGAAACAGGAAAGTAGAGAATAGCTAATAGCTGAAGGAGAATGTGAGTCCATCTGTCACAGATGTTGGGTCCATAACTGTGTGCTTGCTCCAGCATGATCCCGCACAGCTGAAGGTCATTTATGACATGTATGACCAGGCTTGAAAAACATGCTGCCTAACAGGGTCCTTTTTCAAGAGTTTGCAGATGGAAACTTGAAGACTAAAGCAATTGTGAGGGACACGGACAGAAAATGCTGTGAGGAGGTGGGCCAGGGTCTTCACACCAAGCTACATCCCTAGCCCTTTTAATTTTTATTTGTGTTAACACAGGTTCTCACTAAATTGCACAGGCAAGACTTGAACTTGTGATCCTCCTGCTTCAGCCTCCTAGAGTACTGTGATTACAGGTATGCACCACCACGCCCCGATGCCCTATTCCTAACTGCACTTAAACCAGTAGTGCCTAGCTCTCAGAGGAGGAACTTTACAGTCACCACATCGTGCCTGTCCCAGTCCCCACTCTGCTCCAAGTGTTTGTTCATCCAAAAGCAGAGCCAGAACATGGGCTGCTAGTGAGTGAAAGGTTTGTGGGAAATCAGGGGTCAGGGAGGTTAAGGAAAGGTCCCTGGAGACAGAGCTGAAGAATTTGACCTCAGACGGCTTCCTTAACTTGCCAGTACCTCGTCTGCCTCATTATAGGAAGGCCCTATGACCATGATGTATGTTGGTTTTTTTCCATGCAGTTCCTGACACAAAGGGCTCATTACATAATGACTTATTTTGTTTTGTGTGAAGTGGGTGACCTTGTGTTCCAGGCTGGTCTTGAACTTGCAGCCTCAAAGAATTCTCCCACCTCGGCCTCCCACGCAGTCAGGGTGACCAGTGTGCTCTGCCACACTCAGCTCAATAGCTGCTCTTTAGCACACAAAATAAATCAAAGGGCAGCCTGCATTCATATAAAGCATATACATCCTAAAGATATTGGTCTTGTGTCTGTGCTTTTAGCTTTCTAAGTAACAAGAATCTGATCTGTGTGAGTTTCTTTGTACAGTGCCATGTTCAGTTAAATTTCTTAACAAAATCTTTTTGATGTTAATGAAGTTGAGAGGCCATACTTAAAATAAAGGGAATCTTAGTGCAAGGAGGCAGCAAGAAGTTAAATAACACAGCTGGCACTTCCTAAGACAATTCACAAGGCGGATTCTGTCTATTTTCCATCACATAAAATGGAGGTGAATCACAAAGTGAGAATTAGACCCCAAACCAGTGTTTCAGAACATACTCTTGAATTAGTTCACAGTCAACCCAAGCAATGAGATTCTCTGTCCTTTATGACGGGAAAGACCATTTTCATTTCCCCAGTGCCATGTTCTCGCTGAAACTCACGGGTTGGGAGAGATCAGCACTCATTTCCTACTTTCGTGGAGAGCCAAACGGAGAGATAAAAACCGAACATGTTGCTATAAGCATATAAAGTGCTTTAAAACATGTATTTTTTGAGTTTAAAAAAAATTATGCAGACTTTTCCTTGTCAACTTATATACTTTGGAGATGGAATTCCACAGTACATATATATATATGCTGTCTGTACATAAATGCAACATTTTAGGTCACACACTTGAATCACTATAACAAATAAGGTTCCAAATTGATTGTTGATCAGATAGATTTTGGCAACAGAGATTATAGGAATCTCTAATACTCTACATTTTGGTTATCAGACCACTACTTTGTGAACAATTAGCATGATTCAATAAAAATAAAACCTGCATTTAGGTTATTGTTGAATTTAGAAACTCTCTTGATTCCTCATACATACATTGCTAATGAGTTTCAGAATTCATTATAATTTCACATTAGGTTAGCATAAATACCATTTAGAATAACTTGCACCAGAGAAAGTATAGCAAAATGCTAATATAAAGACACAACTAGGGAAAGTGGCCACGTCAGGTTAAACGGCAGCTGGATTACAGCTCACAGCCACACTGCACAGCACTGTCTACACCGCAGTGAGAGACTTTGGTTTTAAGTGTGCTTTCACGGGGAGGCATTTTGCCTGACGGCATTCCACCTAGCACTGCCGTCAGGGAGCAAGATGTGCTGGGAATGCAGTTTCACTGCACTGGGAAGCGCTGATCTGATCAGGTGTCGCTCTGTTCAGGGCAAAGCGAAGCACTCCATAATGGAATTTTGGCCTTCCTTTGTGAACTGCTTCCTGGTTGTAAATCAGACATACTTGAAAGTTTATTCAGTTCTTCTTGCCCCTGTTATGGTTTGTGCTTAGTCATGCCCCAAAGCCCCATGCAGATGAGGTGGGCCTTTCTTTTTCAGAGGTAGTTGAATCTGCAGCGTGTGATGCTGGGGTTGAGGGCGTGTGGTACTAAACCACTACAGGTGAGTGATTGGTTTGGCACCGCTGTAATCCTAGTACTGTGAAGAAGATAAAGGGGGCAGCGAGACGCCGGTAAACTCTCTCTTGTTACCTTTGCTGCCTTGAGTGTGCCGTGCTATTTCTTCTCTGTGATACCTGTTTCTCATCCCTGTCTTGGAGTCAGCCGAGTACGGACTGAAACCTCTATGAACTGTGAGCCAAATAAACCCCTTCCCTTCTAATTTTGGGGGTCGGGTATTTTGTCTCAGCAATGAGAGAAAAGTAACTAACACACCCAAAAATAGCATAGTCATTTTAATCACATTTTACATTTCCCCAGACAGAACAAATACTTTTTTAAAAATCCCATTTAGCTCAATTCAACTTACAGTGTTTGTTAAACACCTGCCTCCTATCACTGACTTGTCACACTTCCTCTCCAGCAGTTTTCATTGCTTTAAACTTCAGTAGCTGTTAGGAAACCATCTTTCAAGGGCCAGAAAGATGTTAATATATCCTTTTAATTCCTAAGAAGACTGATTTGGGTAGCTGTTCAATACAAGCAATATTATGCAATTTTAATTCCATATCACAAAGCATTTAGCAAGAGCCTACAATGTAGGCACTGTACTGGATGTGGGAAATTTGAGAACTAACAAAACAGTGCATGTTGAGGCTGGAATGAGCCTGTGTTAGCCCAAACTGAAGACCTGAGGCCAAGCACGCAGGCCAGTGTGTGAGACCCATGCCAAGAGATGTGCAACATGGGTTCTTTGAAAGGAATCTTTGTAGTAGGATCGAATGTTCATTGATTGCATTGTGTCATTATTTTCCAGTTTTAGGTAGTAAAGCAGGACAGTAATAGCTCAAGTAATTAAAATACCTCCAGTGTCTACTTTCTTGCCTTCCATCCTTTCATAGGGAAAGTAACTGTGTGAAGTGAAGGTTGGAGGCTGTGGGGAGCTGGAGGCATGGAATTCTGCAGTGCTGAATAACAACTATCAGCTGAAAAGACAGCCAGGCTTCCTGCTTCCAAAATCTACTTCCGTTCTAAGTCAACGCATACATAGCTGCAGCCTTGGCCAAACTTGACAAACTTTCAGCCGCAATGGTGACATAGTGACATTTGATCATTTTAATTAACAGGATGTGTGTAGGGTTATCATAGCAGTCCAACAATATCCTCAAAGCCCAGGACACTTTTTACTTTGCTTTCTGCTATCCCTAGCATAATAACCTTCTTCCTTGGATTTGTTGCCTTATGGTTGCAAGGTTGCTGTCATAGCCTTAAAGGCTGACATCTTCATACCATCATCCCATGTAGGAAGAAAGAGAGCAAGTAGAAAACATGCTTTCCTTTCCCCAAGGAGGAAAAACTCCCAGAAGTCCCCAGCACATGTTTTATATCTAACTGGACAGAAATGGGCCACATGGCCAACTTTAAGGGAGGCTGGGAACATGTGTACTAAGCAGTAGAATAAGAGATTAAGATGGGCTTAAGTCTGTTTTCATTCATTCCACAGCACTGGGGTGGGGTGGTTATATTGCCAACCTGTGTTATTAAGGTTAGTTAGCAAGAAAGACTGGAGATGAATGTCTACCACAGTCACTAAGTCATTCGCTTAGCACAACCTTGGGGAAATTACCCAGCATCTGTCTTGGTCAGTCTGGGTTACTAAAACAAAATATCACAGACTTGGTCATAAAACAGAAATTGTTTAGATCTGAAGCCTGGGAATCTCAAATCAAGGGCCCAGAGAGCATATGTCTGGCAAGGGCCCAATTCCTGGTTTGGAGATGATGTCTGCACTGCAATCTCGCCTGGTGGAAGGGACTAGCTAGCTGTCCGGAGTCGCTTTTAGAAGGGCACTAGTTGTGCTTGTGAGGGATTTACTCTCACAAACTCATCACCTCATACAAGACCTAGCCCCCAAATGCCAACACATTGGTGAGTACGTTTCGGAATGAATTTGGGAGAAGTGCATTCAGACCACAGCAACATCTGTGCCTCCTCAGTTTCCACATAAGTAAAATGGAGATGAAAATAAAATCATGCCCCAGGCTTGGGGTGAGAATTAAATGATATAGTTCATGCCAGCCGTTTGAGTAGGAGCTTGGTTCATAGCAAGGGCTCATAAATATTAGCTACTATTAAAAAGAGGCTCCGCTCTGTATTTCTCAGTGCTTGGTTTACAATCAAATTCTCAGAGTCCCTGGAGGGCCTCCTTTTAGCTGTCTCCACCTGGCTATTTCTCTGTTACTTTCAGGACTGATGCCAAGGCTCGCTGCTCCAGAGTTTCCTCCATTAGGTGCATTCTCGTGAACTCTCACCACAACACCTCTCACCTGCTAAATAAAGGTGGTGGAGGAGTTGATTAGCGTGGTTTCTGGAGGTCGATTATCTGGCTGGGCGTCCTGGCCCCACCACCTACTGAGTAAATAACCTGCATCTATTAAAGAGAACTAAGTTAATACCCACAAAGCATCTAGCAGGGTACCTTCTCATGGGAATCACCAAACTGCTATTAATTATTATTACTTTTACCCTTCAGGCCACTCCAGCAGCTTAGCATGTGCCACTCTGGATTTTACTTTACTTGTCTATCCCAGGACTATGATTTTCCTGAGGACAAGGACTGTGCATGATCAACTCACTGTCCTCCTGTCCGCATACATTTCCCAGCACAGCCAACATTTGCTTGCTAGAAGTGGGAGGGGAGGAGGGGAGGTGGAACGGCAAAGTGAGTATGGGCAGCTTCACAAGATTAAACCTGAGAATGGTTTCGTGCTGAGGTCGTTCAAGGCCTGGCCTTTCTGGTGATGAAGGCAGAGTGAAGAGTAAAGGAGGACACAGTTCTGTGAGGCCTGATACTAGAGATTCTCAGAGTGGGTTTTCAAATCAAGGTCATATCAGGAAATGCAGCCATGTCTTGGAAAAACAGGAAGTGCAGTCATAAGATCTTTGGGTTAGATGGGGATTATGTGCTAGGGTTGGAAGATGCTGCTACAAAGGAGGAGAGAAAGTGTAGCAGTGAAAAAGAAGAGAAATGGCCTCTGCCCTAGTCTTCTCCACCATTAAATCCACACTGCTGTGGCCACCAGATAGGTGAAAACCTCAGTTTAGACGGTCAGCTTCTTCCCCGGATCCCAGTGATTGATCATCTCGGTACGTCTAAGCCTGTACGTGTCAGCACACAGTTCCGTGCTTCAGCCCTGCTGACCTCACTACCCTCCTCCGCTCCTTACTCCCCACCTCTCCCTACTGCGTCTCACTTCCTCCTTCACTTGAAACTTCCTGTCCTATGATTTTGCCCCAGCTTCACTTAGTAGGCTACCAGCTTCTCTTCAACAGTGCGCTCCACCATCACTCCAGGAGATTTTCCTGGATTCACCAATCGAACTTCAAGAGTCCGATCTCTGCTCCCCTGAAAGCCCATGCTGGCTCTGGCCACCTCTTTCACATCATAAACTGTTAGACTGCAAGCTCACTGAGGGCAAGAATTGGGTCCAGTCAATGTTGTGTCTCCAACATCACCTCTCTCTCACGTTAGTTTCGGTGAGTGGATGAACACATGAATACAGAGGACAAAGTCTGCCCTGGCTTCACCTTCTGATGCTGATGAATTGGAGAAGAAAAAAGCTTGACTGGTAAGTTTGAATACATAAGAACTGTAGCCATAATCCTTGTAAGAAGTTTGTTGGGCTTGGTCAAACTACTGAAAAATGGAACATTTTCGATGAGTCCAATTGTTGAGTGGTGTCACGAGAGTCATTTTTAGCTGCAATTTGAACAGTATTTTAAAACTTTAAGACATGACCTGTTTATGGGTCAAGGAGTCAATATTATAGATCAAAACAAACATTAAAACATGAAATAGAATGAATTACAAGCAATAATATAAAATAGAATGGGTGATAGTAAATATTAGAATATATTTACAGGGTCATATGTAAATATCTTTCACTCTAGGATAAAAAAAAAGATTATAAGTATTTCTCTTTAGATTTCTTTCCAGCTCTAAAATTCAAGACATGTAGAATATTCCCAACTTTTCTTTGCAACTCTGAGGATAGAAATAAACAGAAAAATTTCACATTTATGGAGAAGTATTCATGTCAACTGCCAGAAAGTTTGCATTCAGCGTATAAGGCAGTTATCCTGTGCTTCTTCAAGTCAAGAAATGGTCGCAATAGTGCAGTGTCATAGGTCAACATGGTATCTAGTTCAGTGTCCCATGCGGGAGTGGGTACGCACCAGTGATGGCGAACCTTTTAGAGCTTTCCATGATAACAAACAGCCTGCCACGGCACAGGTGCCATAGTTTCGCCACCACTGAAGGAGGAAGCCCTTTAGGTCTTCAGTGTCAGCCTTCCTTCTGAATACAGTTTCATAATAAACAGCACATCTGCCACATTAGGAGAATAAGGAGTAGAGGGTAGTGGGACAAGAGAGAAGAGGAGGGGAAGTCGGTATTTCTTTCTCCCTAATCATAACTACAACTATGTGGGTTCCATCCCTTATGTATGTCAGGCCTCCTAAAGATCCCAGTTATTACACCCAAGTAATGGGACCCACAGAGTGCTCAAAAATGAAATCTTAAAGCTCCAGGTCCTGAGTTCGGCTCTCGCAAGGAGCATGAGTTCAAGACCCACCTCTGCTCAGGCTTCTTAGTGGCGCACGCCTGTAATCTCAGCACTCAGGAGGCTGAGGCAGGAGGATCGCTGTGAGTTTGAGACCAGCCTGGACTACACAGCGAGACCTTGTCTCAAAAAACTAAAAAAAAAACAAACAACAAACACTACTCTGATGGCCATGACCTGGTCACCTTTCAGGCAGGCATGGCACCTCTGAGCTACATCCCCAGCATGGTCATCTTTCAATGTGCATGTTTTGATCATTTCTCATAGTGGTTCTTCCTCCTCTAATGCAAAAAGGACTAATGAGAAATTCTTTGAATTTCCTGCTCTATCACCACCCTCATGTACTGAGAACCCACTTGTGCCACTTCCTTTTCAGGCTTCTTATGTTCTTAATTTGTATTTTTCTTCCCGAGAAGTGAATATTGTGGGACTCTTGATACTTAAATTCAGGGCAGTTTGAAGGCCTATTCCTACTGATAAACCCTTCATCAACAGCTGCATTTATGCTGCAAATGTGAGGCTTTTTATTATTCTACTCATCCGCTTCCTCTTTACTTCAGGCCTCTACCTGAATGGAGCCGGGGTTGTCCTTGGCCAGTATTTGGCCATTCCAGGGCTCTGAGCATTGCATCAGAGGTGATGAATGATGACAAGTTTTCCTAAAAATATCTTTCACAAACTCCCCTTGTGTCTTACTTTGAGCTGCTGTGACAAAATACTGCAGATGGAATGGCTTAAACAACAGACGTTCATTTCTCATAGTTCCAGAAATTGGGAAGGCAGACATCGAGGAGCCAGTAGAGATGGCTGGATGAGAGCCTAATTCCTTGTTTGCAAGTCTTGTGTTTGAGTGAGTGTGTGAGTGTGCTCGTGTACACATGTGTATGTAGAAAGAGCTCTCACACCCCTTCCTTATCTTATCAAGGCTCTGATTGTCCCACACAAGGATCTCATCCTCCTGACCTAATTTAAATCTAAGCACTTCCCCTCCACTCTACTTCCTAAAGCCATAAACTGGGGTGAGGATGGTGAGCGAATGAGGGCCCATGGGGCAGCCTGGTGACTTTGGGTCTGCACTATGCCTGTCACCTGTGGTGGCCACTCAGGACACAGGGCCCTCCTTAGGAGCACCCTGCAGTCATTTCCTGAGGCTCAGCACCCTGCTTGGAGCAGGTGCCCCCTACCCAGTCCTGTACTAAGGCCAGCACAGGCCCACAGACCTGGAAGGAGAACTGGGAAAGCCTTTTAGTCCAGGGGGCAGGCTCTCCAGCTATATACCCCAGGCCTTTGTTGCTCGGTTAAAGTCAAAAATGTCTTCCTTGGATTTGGCTTTTGAAAAACAAAACTAGAAGGGCTGATAGCTTTGCTGCTTCCTATCTTGCTGGTACCTTCACAGAAGCAGGGAAACCAATGAGCATCAGACTGAGAGAGGTGCAGAAGACATGTGTGGAGGAAAAGCCTGCCCCAGCACTGGGCTCTGCTCCAGCCACAGTGTATAGAAGCACCGAGGACCTTCCCAGGCTGAGGACCTAGACTTGCCTTCTCCCTCTCCCTATCTTGTCCCAGGGACTCCCCGCTCCCTTCCCTCGAAAGAAAAGCTTAGCTCAGAATGTACCCTGCACACCACCCCGGGCCCAGACTTCCTTCTTTCAGGGAAACTTGAGGTCAAAGAAATGACTGCTTTTCAGGAAAAACTGCAGGCAGTGATTCTAAAGTTCGTTCAAACATTGTTTCTGCTTACATTAAAGCCTTATCGCTGGAGCACAAATACTGTTGAGAAAGAGTTCAACTCATTCTCTATATTACTTCCCTGAAATGTCCTCCAGAATGACTATAATACATACTATAAACTATAATATTCAGTAACAAGTCTATTTCACCCACTTAAAAGTAGATGAAGTTCATAACTTACCTATTTCGGGCTCAAAAGGCCTGCTGTATGCACTTGAGCAGATACATTTTGAAATGGGGTTTGATGCTGGACTAAGAATGAAGAGAGATGCCCTTTAAAACTTTTCTTCTTGTAAACTACAGATTCTTCTCATTTCTGCTTCTCAAAGAGACAGCCTGGTTAGGTTTCTTACTAGCATAGTCTGAATTGTGTTCCTTGCCTTGAGAATAACCAGCCCTCCGTTAACTCCATCCCATCCGTAGGTAGCAAAATCCCACCAAAACTGGACAACTGGTGGTGGACAGCACTCTGAACCTCTGGGCTAGAATAAAGTTTCTCTTTTCATACAGTTATTGTCTTAAGTACTTGGTACAGTAGGGAAACATGACTAACACAACAACCAAAGACAGCAAGGGTCAGAGATCTGATGTCCCCGAGGGTTGCTCCCAGGCAGTAGGTGGCATGGAGTGGGACTGGCCTGGAACTACTGAGGTCATAGAATTAATATTCCCATATATTTCCCACCTCTTGAATACACAGGTTCTGGCTCTATGCATCTTGTGCATTGCAAAGGGGTTTGTGTGGCAAATGATAAACACTGAGCCAAGTGGACTTCTCTGAACAACTAGGTTTTTGAGCTGCCTCTTCCTACCTTCAGCTGATGAGAACTGAAGAGATGGGAATTGGTTTTTATCTTAGGCAGAGTTTAATTAGAGAAGAAGAAGTTGTCAAAATATCTCAGGCTTCATTTCAAAGTCAAATGAAAATGATTTCTGTATTACTCACTGGCTTGTGTTGCACAGATATTCTAAGCTTGTGTCTCAGTGGCACTGTACGTAACTGGGAGGAGGTGGAAGTAGCTATCATATCCATTTCCCACCCACGTCTCATCAGACCCCTGGTAACCTGGGCAGTCGGGAACAGGTGAGGTGGAGGAATGACAACCATTGTGGTGAATCCTGGCAGCGATCATTATAGGCCACAAGCAAGAAATAGAATTTAATATACTACATGGTCCTGTTCTCTCCTGTGTATAAAGTTATAAAACCCAGGACCCAGCCTTGCTTAACACCATGAATTTGTAACTATGGGTAGTATTTACTGAGACATTTCTGTGCCTGGTTCTTTACATACATTCAATCCTCACATCAAGAAAGGCGTAATTATCCATATTTTACAGGTAAGAATACTGAGGTTCTTAGTGGTTAAGTGGCCCATCCAAGGTGAAACAGCCACATCCACAGTAAAACTAGGAGATAAAATAATAAAATCCTAGAATTTTAGAGTGGAAAGGGACAGTTGAGATCTAATATTAGTCTAACGCTCCTACTTTTACGTGAGGGGAAACGGATGTTTAGACCCTTGCCCTCCAAAATCACATATTGTTTAGTTGGTTGTAAATCCAGGGTGAGGATACAGGCTCAATTCAATGAGTATATTTTGACTTGAATGCTTACTAAATGCCATGCACAGCCAATTCTCCTATTTCTCAGACCTCAAATTTTTCTATCAGGCCTTACCCAGAAGGTAGGACATGGGTAGAGATCACAGTGCCAGGACATGAACTCTAAATTGTGGGACAACTTTGATTAGTAGGGAAAATAGTCAGCCTGCCTGGCAGCCAGAGGGGAGGGGTTGGAGCTGGAACATCAAGTATAACTTGATCCTAATCATGAAAGTCAAAAATGTCATTCTGAGTTACTTTGAGAGTGACTTGTCTTGTGTGAAATGAGGTCTAAGTCTTTTGATTTGATCCTTACTAGGGTGACTTTTTTTTAATCCAGTGAATAAGAATAACCAGAAGCAGCTGTTTCTATAACAAAGCGCCATATTCATCCGTGTGCCCTGTGAACTGTGGTGAGCGTTACGGAATAAACTCGGGCTCCATTGTCCACAAAGCAGGCACAGGTACAGCTTTCCTGTTGGCCGCAGGGACAGGAGACCTTCTCTGTCTCACCAGGCCCAAGTCACAAACTCCTAAAGTACTTTATTGGTGAGACTCTTCTGGCTGTAAACATGTGCATATGTTTCAAGAAACGTATGTTGGGTGAAAATAATGTCTGACTGAGAAAAGTGAGTTCAATGAGTTAAGTGACTTTCCAGAATTACTGGACTA